GGAACTAAGTAGAAAATTTTATTTAACTTACAATTTCCTTTGCAATTTCAAAGTGCTTGCTGTGGCAATCTTTTGCTGGCTTCAAAGAGTTATAATGCCTTCATATCCCATCAGCATTGTCAAAGACCACAATTGTCCAATGGTTGTCGTGGTTGATTAGGATATGGATATATTTGTTTTTCATTGCTTCTGGAAAATGGTTGTCCATCATTTTTTCTCTCAGTGCCTGCTCTTGGTTTTGTAATAGGGTCTGTAATTTATATATGTTTGAAATATGTTATAAAAGTATGTAGTAAGACATGTTAAGAAAGTAGAAAATTTTACAGTTTGAATAATATTGAAAGGTATGTTAATAGTTTTGCTTACATTGATAAGTGTTGAGAAAATGTAAGATCGTCCTGTGCATGGATTTCTTCCAAACGCTAGATCATGTTTCTCAAATTCTTCAATTGATAGTTGGAGTGCCAAATTCATTTCTGCGAAGGCATCAATGACCTAAAACATGTTATATATGAGAATGTGTTAGGTTTGTGGAATATGATATTAAGTATAAACAGAAATTGTAAAATTGTGCAGTTGGAGACCTACATTCCCATTTAAGGCTTCCCTGTTGGTCAATCTGCATATATCTGAAAAGTATATGCAATTTTCATCTTTGCTGCCAGACCAGACACAAGCAGTTGGTTGTGTGTTGTTGATGAGTTGAATTTGGTCTTGGTCTTTTTTGGATAGGTTATGCCAAACCTTATTTGTTTTGCGGCATGAAAGGGTGAGTGGCTTGTTGTAGATTGATTCTTCTTTGAAATCATCATCACTTTCCAATACTTGAACTTGTGTCTTCTCTTGATTGGCATCCTCTTGTGGCTTGGTTTTAGTACCACCTTCTTTCTCTTGGCCGATATCTTCTTTCATTTCCTGCTCTTTTGCTTCATGAGCACCCTCTTTTGGCTCGGGTTTAGTAACATGTTTTTTCTCTGTTTCGATTTCTTTTTTTTTCTTTTCATTCTTTTTCTCTTTTCCTTCATCGGTACCCTCTATTGGTTTGGATACATCACTAACAGCTTCTGTCTTGTTCCTTGTATTTTCTTTGGCTTTTGTCATTGGTTGGTATTCAAAATCTGGCTTATGTGCTTGTTTTCTTGACTTTTGTTTGATTCTCTTGACCATTGATCTTTGTTGGGGACTTCCAGTTTTTTTAGTGGACATTTCCTTCAACTAGTCTTCATTTCTTCGCAATTCAGCCATGAACTTTTGTTCCATTTCTTGCATTTGTGCTCTCATGTTTGTTATGAGTTTGTCCTTGTCGTTCTCTTTGGTTGATGTTTGTGCTTGGTCATCACTTATAAAAATGTTGGATTTTGTTTTAGTTAGTTTAATTAAATTTTGCAGTTTGGTTCAGTATTAGACAAGAGTTTACCTTGTGTATGAAATGTGTCAAATTTCTCTTGGAGTTCTTATTGTTGTTCTATCCTTTTTTCTTCTTATGTTTTGCTTGTTCTTTTTTTTTTTTCATGTTGTTGTTGTTGTTGTTGGTTTGTCAGTTCTTGTTCATCTACTTCTTGTTGTTGGTTTGTTTGTTCTTGTTCTTGGCCTTCTTCTTCATCAGTGTCTTCTTATGCTTCATCATCATCATCATCATCATCATCATCATCTTCTTCTTCTTCTTCTTCATTGTCATGTTGTTCATCAGCTTCTTCTTCTTTAGTCTCTTGTTTCTTTTCTTCATCACTCTCTTCTCCTTATTCACCACTTTCTGCTTCTTCTTGTGGTTCTTACTTTCTTTTCTTTCTTTTTTGTTGTTGTTCTTGTTCTGATTCTGATTGGTATTCTTCTTCGAGAAAGTCATCCTCACCACTATCTAGAAGTTTTTTTTTTTTTTTTTTTTTTTTGCTTTTGTTTTTTTTCCTGCTTATTGTCCTTTTTGTGGTCATGTTTCTTTGCTGAAGAGTTTATTGATGTACTTTGATTGATATGCAATAACTGTATTTCTTGTTCAGTTAGGGTTAAAACACATTGGTTAACCTGCAGTGGAATAATGTGGCATATATCAGTAATACTGTAAAATTGGTCAGTTTCATAACATGATTTGTACTGTGAGTAATGTGAGTTAAGTGTTGAAAATATGTTGTTTGAAACTGCAAACTTTTATAGTTTTATAACATGATTGTTAGTGTAATGAATGTGAAAGGATTGTTGAATAGATTTGTGCGTTGAAACTGCAAACTTTTGTAGTTTCATAACATAAGTGATAGGAGTGTTAAATAGGTGTGTGCTTTGAAACTGCAAACTTTTACGGTTTCATAACATGATTTGTACTGTGAGTTAAGTGTTGAAAATATGTTATTTGAAACTACAAACTTTTACAGTTTCATAACATGACTGTTGCTATAATGACTGTGAAAGGAGTATTGAATAGATTTGTGCTATGAGAGTATATAAGAGTTTGAATACATTTTCAAAATCAGCAAGGCTGATGTGTTTCTACTTGGAGTACATTTTGCGAAGGTTCCACTTCATAAACCTTGGGAAGCCTTCTTTGTTGGATGGTCGGAGGAGTTTACTGTGCTCACAATACTAGTACTGTAAAAAAAAATTGATATATGTTAGATAGTTTGAAATAGTTGGATGTTTGATATTTTTGTGTGAAGTAGTTGAGTAGTGTGTTTACCAAAAGTAACATGACGCATCCATTGACATGCCTTGGGTTGTTGTTTGCATTTGCCATTGAATTCATCAGTGTGCCTTTTATTGCCTCAATCCAATTGTACTTCTTGTTATTGTTGAGATTGTGAACATAGTTGAGGAAACTCCAACTGAGTGTATGGCCTGTTGTAGGCATGAGAAGTTTCAGGCACAGGTAAAGGGTGATGACCCTTGCAAGATCTTGACGATCATTGGTTGATTTTTCTTTTTTTTGTTTGTTAAAATATTTTGGTCAATGACTTGGCATCCAATCTTTTTACTAATTTGCATCTTTGTTTGTAAAATGCGAGCTCAAAATCCTTTGGTCTTGCATAGGATTTTGTGGTGATGTTGTCTTCTCCACAGTCGATACTAAAAATCAGCCTCATATCACTATTTCTGAGTTTCATTTCCTTTTTGCCAAGTATAAATGCTATTTTTTTTTGGTTGTAGAGTGTTGTTATTTCTGCTCTAATGGAATTGTAGCATCTGCACCAAGAGGTCTTCAGTTGTGTTGAGGAGAGAGCATTTATAATGGGCCAAAAAGGAGTTTTTTTGCAGTTTTGTCTGTTGGGCTGTTGCGAATTTGACATTCTTCAACACTTTGATTACTGTTCCGATGTTGGAACGGTAATTAAACTATTGGACTCTTTGCAGGGACTACTCCTTTTTTCCTTTTGATGCCTTAGTTTTTGTTTTGGGAGTTGATTGGCTTTCTTAGAGCTTTGTTTGTTTTTGTTGTGGTTGGAGGTGTTGTTGGTGTTTGTTGTATGGGTGTGATCTGTGGTGTAGTTCTTGGATTTTTTCTTGTAGGTAGTGTGGTTGTTTTGTAGGTTTTTTTGGTTGTGGTGGTTGGATTTTTTGTGGAGGGGGAGATGGTGGCATTTCAATGGATACAGGTGAAGGATTGTCAAAATGGGAGATACTTAAATCCCGATTGGATTTTTGGGCATATTGGTTTGTTTCTTCCAATATATTCAAACAGCTATTTCTGAAAAAATAAAAGTAACAGCAGGGCATAAGTAATATAGTGACAAAACTGTATAATTTTACAGTTTTATATGCAGTTTAATATTAAGTTATATCTATTTGTTGGTAATAGTTGCAAAATTGTATAATTTGGCAGTTTGATTTGCACTTTATAATAAGTTATCCATTTGTTTTGAATAGTAATTAAACTGTGTAATTTTGTAGTTTCATTTGCAGTTTTAATAAATTTAGATATGTTACTTGTAGAGTGATGAAACTGTCTGATGTTTCAGTTTTAAAAACACTATCAACAATAAGAACAACCCATTGTATTTTGTAAACAATAACAATAACAACAAGAAGATTAAGCATTCAACGAAATGTAGCAACAATATGAAGAAAAAAAGCTAATATTTTATAACAAGAAGAAACAACAACAAGAAGAATAAGAATAAGGAGTTGAATCTGTAAAAATAGGGGATTAAAATGTTTAAAAATAGGAGACTAAAATGTTTTAAAACAGGGGATTATATATAAAATAGGGTTTATACATTTTGAAGAATGTAAAATGTGTTTTACAATATTTTTTTTTATGAAAGTGTTATTGAAACGGTATGATATATACAAAATATCAAAGAATAATGTACAAATTTGAATGGAAAATAATAGGTGAACAGATATGTTGCTTTTTTTCCCCATTTTTTGTGAATTGGAAGTCAAGAACTATGAAATTTATTTAGAATCGTAATGGTTCTTCGTGTTGTTGAGAGTTGCCGATTAGAGAAGATGATCAGCTTCGTGTTGTGTTGGTGAGAGTCGACGATTGGAGAAGATGAACGGGTTCATTTTGTGGTTAGGGTAGGGTTTTAGAGATAGTGGAGTCGAACGGTGGAGAGATGGAGGACTGAAAATGCAAAAGCGAGCGGCGGAGATGTGACAGTATACTAATCAAACTGATGTAAGATGACCGTGGGTGAAGGTTGCGCACGTGTAAATTGGATAATAAGTGTTGGTACTTTCGTTTGATTGATAATTTGAGGACTTAATGGAGTATTGAATTTGTTTTCGAACTAAATGAGGTATAATATGTTGGGCTTGAACCTTTGAGTCGTTTTCCAAAAATAAAGCTAGTTGGAGGGGCTTGAATCCCATATTAGCAACACATTAGCAACACGGTCCGATCCGGCCTGATGCTAGTCTAGTCATCACAACAATATTAACGATCTAAGATAGTGAATTTACAGAATCCAATCCAACGCCCCAGAAGCATCCGATTGTAGTAGTCATCGTATGTGGTAAATCACAACATACCTCTCTTCCTCAATACTTAAAACCCTAATAAAGCTGCTAAACCCAAGTTCTCAAATCAAATCAAAACTAGGGTTTAGCGCCTCGCCGATAATCTTAGAGAGAGAAAGCAAGCAATAGATACACACATATACATCTATATATAGGGAGAGAGAGAAGAGAAGAGAAGAGAAGAGAGGAGAGAGAGAAACTGAAGCCACTGAGTCTCTTGAATACAGTCAACAATGGCGCTATATCTTCTCTACGAGTCAGCTTCTGGGTATGCCCTGTTTTTGGCACATGGTATTGATGAAATCGGTCAGAACACAGAGGCAGTTCGGAACTCCGTGACTGACCTCAATCGATTCGGCAAAGTCGTGAAGCTCGTAGCTTTTACCCCATTCGAGTCCGCTCTCGACGCTCTCAACCAATGCAACGCCATCTCCGAAGGTGAGGGAGTAAACCGTTTCTCTATCCTCTCTCTCTCTATGTGTGTGTGTGTGCTTGTGTGTGCATATATATATATATGTACATATGCATCTTGGGTTTTTGTTGTTCTTGTTGGGTTTGTTCTGATTCTGTGTTATGAGTGTCATTGTGTTTTATGTGTTCTGTTTAGAAAAATGGTCATCAGAAGAAAATACTGTGAAGCTTATGCACAACTCTAGTACTACTGGGTTTTGGTGTTGTATTTGTCTGGATGATGACAAAATGAGGGGAAAGAGAATTAATAGAATGATTGAGTTTAAGATTTTGCATGAGAACTGAATTTTTGGCAATGGGTATTTTCATTTTTTAGAAGCAAGAGATTAACAAACTCGATATTTGGAAAATTCATTTTTGATTTTTTTTTGTACTAAAGCCAATTTGGCTATAGAAGTGGAGTATGTGGATTAGCGCTGAACCAAGTCAGCTTATGGTTTGATTTAGTTTGGTAGCTGAGTATGTAATTGGTTTGATATAGTTTGATAGGAATTAATGATGCAAATCTAGAGAGGAGGGGACTAAGATTTGAAGGATTGGAGGTTGATTTAGCCATGGTGTTATGGAAGAAGGATTAAGGAAAACTAAGAAGAATTGAGAGAGGATTTGTTCCCTCTAAAGGCTTTTGGTCTCTCATACCATGAAGCAGAAATTGAATTTGATATTTATTTCAGTTTTTTGCTCACGAATTACACAAACCATTACACCAGTATATATAGAGAGAATGGAGAATTCAGGGAGCTTCCATAGCAAAGATCTTTTATATCTAAGTTGGTTACAAGAGAGAGAGACTCATTACAAAATTTGGTTACTGCAGAGCTGTCTTGGTGCTAATCTGGTACCTGATCCATGATGGTATGTTGCTAATTTGTGATGAGGAGGTTCAGCTGATTTGGTGCAGACCAGGTGCAGCGTGGTGTTTTGTTTTGGCACATATTTTTGTCTGCATTTTGTTTGCTTGTGTATGCTTTTTTTTTGTTTGTCTTGTAATTTTTAAGAAATTTATCAAACCTTAAAAGAAGAAAATTTCTTTGGAGTTATAATGATTTGATATATGCATTTATTTATTTTTTTTGTTGTGATTGGGTTTTAGGGCATATTACTGATTACTTGAGGAACTATTTGGAGCTAACTCTTCAAAGAATTTGTACATACGATGATTTGATATATGCATTTGCTTTTTGTTATTGGGTTTTAGGCCATATGACTGATGAGTTGAGGAATTTTTTGGAGCTAACTCTCCCAAAAGTTAAGGGCAGAAAGAAGCCTAAATTCAGTTTAGGCATTGCTGAGCCTAAGATTGGATCACATGTCTTTGAAGTGACCAAGATCCCCTGCCAAAGTAATGAGTTTGTTCTTGAGCTTATTCGCGGTGTGCGGTTGCATTTTGATAGGTTCATTGAGAACCTGAAGGTTTGCATTTTTAACACTTTTCCATCTCTCTCTCTCTAGTGTCAATGTCTTGCTGTTATGTTTTTCTTTCTGAAATTACTTCATATGTTATGTAACTTGTTTCTTCTATGTTCTCAAACTACTGTAGCCTGGTGATTTGGAGAAAGCCCAACTTGGTCTGGGGCACAGTTACAGCAGGGCAAAGGTCAAATTCAATGTTAACCGTGTTGACAATATGGTTATTCAGGCTATCTTCCTTCTTGATACTCTTGATAAAGATATCAATTCCTTTTCCATGAGAGTCAGGTTTGTCACTTGTACAAGTCAATTTTGTCTTAGAAATATCATCTTCAGGGTTCATTATTCTTTGGAACTAGTTTACTCTTTCTTGCTTTTAAGTGCAATATTTGAGAATTTTTGAGATTTGTCGTTTTGAAATTGTGACATTGTATGAAGCTTTATGGATGTTTTTTTTTATATTTATTCCAATTAGATTTTGTTAAAGTTGTTCTTTGATTTACTTAATGCAGAGAATGGTACTCTTGGCATTTTCCTGAACTAGTAAAGATTGTCAATGACAACTATCTTTATGCCAAAGTTTCAAAATTTGTTGAGAACAAATCAGAATTGTTTGAAGACAAACTACCAGGCTTGATTGATATACTTGGAGATGAAGATAAAGCAAAGGAAATCGTAGAAGCTGCCAAAGCATCCATGGGTAGAGTCTGTTAGCCCATTTGTTATAATATTTGAAAACTGTTCGTTCTTGAAAACAGAGAAAATTTAAACAAATACAGAAAACAAATTTGGTGGAATGTTTTTGTTAACAAATTTGTGTGCGTGGAAAATTTCTGGAGATAGCCCTTTTTTTACCCAGTTTTAAATTGATTTTTGAGTCCTCAAAGGATTGAATTCATAAAAAAAAAATTGAGAATGGTTATATTTTCTGGAAGCATGAAAAGTAAAACCGTAAACAAAAATAAGAAGGAAACTATACCAAAGGTACTTAAATATCTCATGTGCAAAGTTGCATCCCATTTTTTATTCAATTGGTGTTTCTATGTTTTTTTAGGGCAGGACTTGTCTCCAATTGACTTGATTAATGTCAAGCAATTTGCACAGAGGGTAATGGACCTTTCTGAGTACAGAAAAAAGCTCTATGAATATCTGGTCACTAAAATGGATGACATTGCTCCCAATTTGGCTGCTCTGATTGGTGAAGTTGTTGGAGCTCGTTTGATTTCCCATGCTGGTAGCCTCACAAATCTGGCAAAGTGCCCTTCTTCTACGCTTCAGATCCTTGGTGCAGAGAAGGCGCTCTTCAGGTATGTGCTCTTCTCTAAATTTGCTAGGATTGCAAAAATTTCATTTAAAAATCAGACCAATTATTTCTGAAAAGTCTGGTTTGTTGTTCAAGTGCAACTGGAAATGACTATGTTCAGGTCATCTTAGTGGCAAAATGCATATTTTTAGAGCTAAAAGTGACTGCATCATCTGATGCCACCTGGACATTCCTTTTGTGCATTGTTTTGTTATCATGACTCAATCATTCCTTTGGCTACAGGGCATTGAAGACCCGAGGAAACACCCCGAAGTATGGCCTTATATTCCATTCTTCTTTTATTGGCCGGGCATCTGCTCGAAACAAAGGCCGAATGGCTCGTTATCTTGCAAACAAGTGCTCTATCGCATCTCGCATTGACTGTTTCTTAGGTAAGTCTTTTTGTTTCTTTCAAAGAATATAATGTTATCATATGATTACTTTACCTCATGATTGGTAGATTAAATTGTGAACCATGTTCTGAATGCAGATAAGAACACCACTGCTTTTGGGGAGAAACTTCGTGAACAGGTTGAGGAACGACTTGACTTTTATGACAAGGGGGTTGCACCTCGTAAAAACATTGATGTGATGAAGACTGCACTTTTGAAATTTCTCTAAACAAAGGTGGGTGAAAGATGAGAGTATGGAGGATTTTTTTGTTCTTGCCTCCCTGTAAATTTGAAAACACCGAATGAACTGAACCTTGTGGCTTGTGGCTTTAAATTCAGCCATTGGTTTCGTTGACTGCAGCTTTATCCAGATTATATTCTACTGCAATGGGGAAATTTTTATTTCATTTTCATTAGATTCTTCAAATTGTTTGTCATTCTTCCTTTTTTCTTTCCTTCTCTCTGCTCTCTCAATTACACTGTTTCAATTTATAGCTTGCAAGCATAACTGACTGGGCTGGTTTTTTATTCCATGAGAACGAACAATTAGGAACAATTCTAGCCACAGTTGTGTTCTTACCTTTACTAAGCATTTCATTCTCATAATTGGAGCAATGACCTCACATGTTATGAGCTGTCCTAGTTTCTCATTCTCTCATCTGTTCGCAATGAGAAAATGAACAATGTAGTATTAACTCTATGGAAAAACACAACTAGGGCAGATGGAAGGGAACAAAAAATAGAGGTTTCAGCTACTTGCAGCACCTTCTCCCCCTTTGCTACACCTGGTGGTGTATCTTCACCACCACCACCACCGGTCACTAACGGTAATGGTGGTAGAGGAAACAGTGGAGGTAATGGTAGTGGTGATGACTGAACGAGTTTTTTTTAGAGCTTTGTAGGGTTGGGTTTTCTGTATCTTCTTTTCTTTGTTTCTTCTTCTTTTTCATTTTTTTAATTTTTTTTTTGGATTGCTAATGATATTTTATGGTATGGATTTCTTATGACATTTCGGCCATGTTTGTTTGGATGGACATGAGTTTGGGATTGGACTAATAATCCGATAAAATTATTAATCCGATGTTTGGTTAAACAATTGAAATAGGGACTAATTATTTTAAACTTGACTATTAGTTAAGATAGGATACATGATTCAATGGATTCGTAGTCCTAGGACTATTAGTCATGGGAATGCTAATCCAGTCCGTCCAAACAAACATGGCCTTCATGGTGTGGATTATTATATGAGTTTTATGTTTTGGTCTGTTATCCGGTAGCCTCTAGTTTGAGTCAGAGTTTGACTGTTAAAGAACACGAGGTATTAGAAATTGAGTCCTTTGGGGCCTAAATGTCATATTGCCTTCTTATTCCAATCAAGAAGTTTGATCTTCAATCACATCGTAATCTCTAGTTTTTGGCTGATCTTTTACAAATTTTTGACTGTTTATAGATTTCAAACCATTAGTGATCTTACATGTCTTCTTCTTTTGTATGTATATCAACTTACCTTCTTTTAATTATACTAGTGGTATTCATTTAATTATTAATACAAACCTCATTGTGCATAACTAAGATGCAAGCAAGTTGAAATTAGGACATAATAGTAGATGCCTCATGGTTCATGATTCAGTGGTTCTGTTCCATATGTGTAGCCTGCTTAACTGAGAAATGCATTAATCTTACTTGTGGCCTTTTATTTTATATATATATATATATATATATTATTTTTGAAAAGCCAGTGAAAATAATATGCATACTACTTGGAACAGGTTTGGGAAAACGAGAAGAAAAATAAAGTGAGAAAGGAAATACTTTCCCAATGAAATTTTTTGAAGGAATGATATGAAATTATGAAACAAAACAAACATCGATCATATTTTCTTTAAAACATTATTTTTTCTAAAAAAAAGAGATGTGAAGTAGAAAAAATAATTTTAAATCAGCTAGAATTAAAGTAATTACACTAGAGATGAAATAATTCAAAATAATTACAAATCAATGAAAATATCCTATGCAAAGACAATTTTTTTTTTTTTTTTTTTTTTTTTTTTTACTACAAACCCAACCCAGTTGGCTTTTTTTACTACAAACCCCACCTAGTTGGCTAACATTACTACAAACCCCACCTAGTTGGCTAACACCATAGTCACCCTCCTTTGCCACATCTTTCCAACCCCATCTCTATTATGATCCCAACCCGTTCCAAACAGGATGGTGAGGTAATCTGCCAGTAATCGTGGACTACCAAAGGGTTAGCTTACAAAACAAGTTGGATTCTTAGAATATTTGGGAAAAATTTTCAATTGTAAGTGCGGAAGCCAATTGTAGCTTGCTTTTCGTGCTCCTTAGAGGGGTTTAGTCTCCTCGGATACGATAGTCTTATAGTTTGGACTCCCGTGGATATGAATCTGGTTTCACTAGTGCAATGTGAAACAAAAAAACACAAATGAGAGTCCAAGTCCAGCAAATCTTTAGAAAATTCATTTATAATCAGAGATGCCAAAAATAGACTGCATTGCCAGATTACAAAGTTGCCACCTAAATATTTTTGAAAAATTTAGGAAACTCGTGACTCGTGCCAAAAGTCACTTGTCCGTCATAACCAAAGTGTCTCGGCTCGGGAACTTAGGTATGAAAGGGGAAGGTCATGAATTGAGCACCCAATTCACCTGATCAAAGATCGGCCTCTACTAATCATGATATGATTTTTTATAGACAATAGATGTTCATCTTCTGATTATTATGCTATCTTTACTATGTGAGGTCAAACAAGTATAGTCTATTTCACAAAATTTGGAACGCTTTGATTTTATATTTGTTTTGAAAAGAGTTTTGAATATGTGTCACTTGAAAAAGTGAGCTCGTATGTACATTTAATCAAATCATCCTAATTTAAGCAATTACCATTTATCTATAGGCATTCAAGAAATATATCAAATAAGTACTTAGCCTTATGGTAACATGCTTGATATGGCAACACAAACATACATGCAATATGCTAAAGCGAAAACGCTCACCTAGTACTCAACCGAGGCAAGCCAAAATAGAATAAAAATAGTTAGAAAAATGTATAATCCTAACGATGCAAATGACTAATGCAAAAAATACAAAATACAACAACTGGGTTCAGTTTATTTAACATGGCATATAACTCAAATCAAGTCATGCGATAGCGCACGTTTTCAAGTAATTAAGCAATTGACAACAATATTAGAATGATAAAGCGAACCTAATGCATGCATAAATGGATATTTACACATGGTAATGATATGAAACCGAAATATGATACTACATGCAACCATCATAAGAAAGTAAATAAAAGGGAGAAAGAACGGAGATTGGAAGACATGCACAATATTATAAGTTTGCCCTCGTACAAGAGGGTTCGAATGTCCGGATGTCTCTAATTATTACAAATTCGAATGAATAACTACTTAATCTATTACAATAATAATATTACAATAATCTATTTAAAATAAACCATTGATCACGTGCGCGCCAATGACAATGTTCCTTAGAAACTGCTCTATATGTCTTATTGGGAAACTGCCCTGCATTCACCCTTAGCCACTGCTCTATGTTTCTTAAAAATGCCCTGTGTACCATACATTGGAGGCCGGTCGGCCCACAATGAGGCTCGGCAGTGGCCAAACAAATCCGTCCTTGCCCTAATTTTTGGCAGAAAACTGTTTTGTGCACTAAGGTGAAAATAGTGTAGACAGAGTGCTTCTAAGCAATGTTTGTCCTTTCTGCCATTCTTTATCATGGAGATACTCAAGAAAGGAGCGGGTTCGGTTCCCAAACCATCAATGGTCGCAAGTTAATTGTGTGATGATTTTAGACACGATAGGACAAAAGTTTAATGAATGCAATGAAAGACAGACAACACCTCATTCTTATCATGAAGTTAATTCAAGAAGAGAGGTAGACACGCCTCAAGAATCATCAAACATCACGAATTAGTATGTGATGACTCTAGAAGCGATGGATTCGGTATAATGTCTGACCGAATCCAACCATTTTATTAGTTTCCTTTATATCGGTTTTAATCGATTTTAAACTGATTTTATTATCCTTTTTCAACTTACCTTTCCATTTCTTATCTTTTATTCCATTTTGTCCAACAGTGATATTTACGTTCACTAAGTCCAAAAGCAATAAAGATGAACAAGCATAGCTTAACCCGAGAAATGAACTTTTCAAGCCCTTTTCTACGAGGAAAATCACAAAGAAGGAATCAAACCTATTCTTGAGCAATAAGGGACTCGGAGTCAAACCCTAGAAGGGCGATAATGACCTCAAATCCAAACTTGATGACAAGCTATAATGATACCTTTCTTTGAGATTTCCATAGGTCTAAGTTAAAAACTAGTCCCTTAGAAACAATGCTCTAGCGATTAAGAGGAGTATCAAACAAGGGATCGTTTTCAACATAAGAGAGATGTAATGCCTTGGTAATGAATCTTCGAAGAGATTAAACCATTTAGCGTATGGTGGGGTTAGGTCTAGTAGGGAGTGGGTCAGGAAGAGGTTGAGGACAAAGGGGTTTGAGATACCCTCTTTCCATCTGGATTTTTAGTGCGTTGGTTAGGCTCATATGGAGGGGGAGTGAAAGTTTTGCCTTGAGCTTGGGTTGGGCTGGTTGTTTATGGGTTGGCATTGGCAAAAGGGTTGGTAGTTTTGGGATCGGTGGCGTTGGTATTGATTTCAGTGGGTTTGGGAATAGTGTTACTGTTAGCATTGGTACTCTTGGAAAACACCCTCCTTGTTGGTTCGATTGTTCTGGGAATAATCCCTTTGTTAAATGCGCTCTCAATCTGAATCCCTAATTCATGCGAATTTTTGAAAGTGAATAATGGAGCGACTATTAACTTTTGTAACATATCAGTCTCAAGGTTCTGCACCACTATCCGTACTTGGTCCCTCTCATAAGGTCGATCTGTCATTCGTGTGGCCTTTGCTCTCTGTCTTGCAACAAATTCCACAAAAGGTTCTTTAGGATTTTAGTGGGTTATTTCAAGCTGTTAGGTGACAAACGCCTCAGCCAAATCTTCCCAATTCTGCTTCACTTTATCCTCCAACTTGGCGTACCAAGTGGCTGCTATATCCGTCAGGGTTCTTTTATACAGAGAGAGTTTCTAAGGCTTATTCAGACCCATCGATTTTAGGACTTCTGAGAAAATCTGTATATGTATCATAGGATCTCCAGACTCGTCGAAACGGTCAATGGGTGGCATTTTGAACCTAGCCTCGGGCTCGGGACACGGGTCGATCCTAGCAGGGTTTTTTTTTTTTTTTTTTTCCTTCAAAAAATGAACGATAAATATATTATGTATGTAGATTATTTATTAGGGATAAAAAAAAGGAGTTAATTACCTAAAAGTCCTATTTACAAATGTTATGGTAACTTAGGTCCTATCTAGGATT